TCTTGGGTACCTAACGATACCACCTGCACATAATTTACGTATATACACCCGCTTCGGTCATGTGATAGATTTCGAGGTTTGGCTTTAGCCAATTGACCAAAAGCTAACACAAAACACAAGAAACAGATATGCTTCAGGAAAATACAGCCCGCCTCAGCACAATATGATCGGTAGGTGTGCAGATAACAGACCAGCAGCCACACATGAGTCCCTTAAATGTTGATTCCAGAAAACAGTTGCTGCGTCAGAAGTCACAAAAAAGGTTGGACTGTGGTTCCCTAAAGTACACGTTTTGGAGTGAAATTAACTTGCAGTCAACGTTCAAAAGAAGATGAGTATGATCCGAAGAAGAGGTAAATACTAAGCACAACATTGGCTTTTCCCTTCTATGCCTGTGTTCATGACCCTGCGCTAATATGTCGTCGTAACACATCTGCTTGCAACGGGGCCTTGACTGACCATCGCTCAGTGTGCGCTCAACAATTGGTTGAAGTACGGCTCGCGCATTAGTGCCAACATAAAAGACGCCAGTGTTCAAATCCTTCACAACTACGTAGGAGAAACCATCTGACTACTCGCAAAAAGGACTGCGTGGAGACACCTTATGTAGCGTTTCTGAGGAGCATGGCAACGGAAATTTACACAAGAGTGAACAGGAAAATCAATAGTAGCTTTTCAAACGGAATGGGTGACTAAGAAGCTTATTGCGAAAACTGTCTCGAGCATGCGAACCAGCAACCAACAAAACAAGGCGGAAACACTAGGATACCCGGGTATAGTTCGAATATACCATAAAATAAAACGAACTCTGTGAAGGCATTTCACGGTTGATCAGATGCTGGCATACCAAATACACACAAAACAACGCAAACTCGAGGGCAGCATGATCCGAAGTCAAAGAAGATGCGCCAGAAGGCAACGCTGTTGTGTGCATCCCACGCACAGCTTACTCTTTTTCATACGTCGGCCAGGTGAGTTGAAGTATTGGGACTCAGCACATTGGCCATAAACAGGCTACGAGTGTTTTTCTTTTCCCTGTGTGGTTGAACAGGGAGAAGGGGGGGACGGTATGCAAGTGTTTTGACTGATAATCAGACCAATACAAGACGCAATGTAACGTTTCTATAAACGAAAGTGGCGGGCCGAAATCACAGCGGCGGATGAAATGGAAACAGTAGATCACACAAATAGCTGTAGCCTAGACGCATATGCTCCCCAGTAGACGCTCTCTCTGTGCAGTACAATCTACCTCGACGGGTGACAATGCAACAGAAAGGACTATAAAATTGTCAAACGATTTTAGCAGACAGGCTCTTTAAGGCCAAATTGTGGCAAGAAGTTAGCTGGGGAAAAATATTATGCTAGGATAAATCGCCCGAAAAGTTAAAAAACGTAAACAGTGGACAAAATAAGGATCAAAGTAAAATTGAGTAAAAACCTTATGCCGGCAGACAATCAGAATGTGAATTAGTTGGTTTCCAATAAGACGGAGAATGCGGTGAGTTTCAGCGTCCATAGTTGTGGTGGTGGGATCAGAGGACGCGTCGTCGTCGTCGACAGCAGAGGCCAAGAAGGCACAAACACGAAGGTAGAGCCAGGTAACAAGTACGTCCGATGTTAGCTTTACAAGTGGAACGAAGGAGACTTTTATGATATTCAAGCAAAGTACAGCTAAATAAGTAGAAAAAGGGGTATTAATAAAGGGATTTATGGTTTTTCGATAAAAAAGCGTAAATGAAGATAAACAAAGGTAGTTAAGGCATTCTGCAGCAGATTGAAGGTATTTTCTGTAGAAGTTGCCCGAACGATAGTCTCCACCAACCAATACTCTTGCAGAGGGACTACGTATTCGAAACAGAGTGCGCAGTCTGCTCACGTAACCGCATCAAGCGTCAGTCCGGACAATTCGCTAAGCGTAAGACAGTCATCCATGCCTAAGTGGTGAACGCCGATAAAAATAAGTTCCGCTAGGTGGACCTATGAGGAGAACAGCGAGTTATTTTTCTCCTAAGACATTAACTCAAAATATGAAATATGATCTCGATTTGAAAGGATCACTTAGGTGGGATTCTGATAGTGATTATCCTGCAACATGATCCTAAGATACTTAAGAAATGTCAGGATGACACTTTGAAAGTAGGCCCCTTCCAGTCGCCGTCAAGATTCTCACTTCTATAATAAGTACCTATGTAGCACGAGGTTTTCCTTGATTTTTCATGTTCTTTTAAATCCCAAAACAGCCTATGAAGGTCTGCATGAAAATATCCCTGAATGCATTCATTTAGTCGAAAATTACGTTTTCTGTAATTTTTTACTCGAAGTGTAGCTTCGGCTTTTTAATAATTACCTAATTTCCGAATTATTTATAACCCAACATGTCGATGCATTTATGTTTAACGGTCTCAAACTGAATGCTTTACACCGTCAGATTCAACAAAATCATACACTCCTCTATAGTTTTAAGGAGATGCAACATGGGATACGTACAATTTTCCGTAGCATATGGACCACGTGGTATACCAACACTTGTGCGAGCTTTTCATTGCGAGCCGCCATTTTCTTCTCCCTCTATTCGCATGCATATTTTCTTAGAAAGAGGTCAGCTGGCCTACTTCGCCCACTATAGACCGATTTTTATCCGTCTTTGTTTGGTTGAATTACAATGAGGTCATAAGTGCACGAGGTGACGACGCTAGCGCTGTTTGAAAGCAGTCCAATTTGGCCTAAATCTGACGACTTTTTCTAGGACGCTTATCCAACACGTCGAAAATTGCAGTCATTGGCGATTAGGGATTACTTTTGATATCCCGGTGTTGTGAATTTGTGCGCCTAATTTTATTTGGTGAAAATTTTGGAATTATATTTTCAAAATAAAGCGTATCTCTCTCTCAAAAAATAGCGTCACGGTGTACTGTAAGTAGACAACTGAAACAATCAAAATAATTATCAACATTTTTGAACCTAAAGGAAATTTCTCTTTTAAGTGGAATCTTTTAAAAGATAACTTTTTGCATGCTTTCCATAACATATTTTTGGATCTACAAGAACGTTGAAAATCGATCATACTATCTAGGCACTTATTTAGAGTATCGTTTTTGAGGACGACCGGAAGGATGCATTCCAAAATCGATAGGCTGCATTTCAACCCATCAAGGCCATCCGTTCTAACTGCAGCCGTATTTCAGAATTGAAGTTAAGGTTCCGAGACTTAAGCCATGTACTGTATCTCTGTAACTCTGAAAGACAGCGTTGTATGTGTCGGATCGATAGAAACAAGACGACAAGTAGTGAGAGGCTGAGAACTTGGGATGACAGTCGGAAGAATGGGAGGAACGGAGATAGCAGAAAGCGAAGAGAAAGAGGCTCCAATCGGAATTCGGAACGGACAAGGAGAGGAATTAGGAAAAACAAGGTTGAAGTAAAACCCGCAACGCGTCTAGTACCGTTGAGGGCTTGGAAGGCACGACAAAACCCCTCATTAACGAGGAGGTTGTCATTAGAGCACTTACTGCAGCCTAATTGATTCAGTGGTTAACAACAAGCTTTTTTATAAACGTAGTGACTGTTCAGCTACATACAAGCGAACATGCGTGTCCCAGGAACCAATTGAGAAGAAGACTCGATCGCTGGGACAGTACGTTTATTCGCCTGACGTTTCGACATCCGTCACGGATTCATCATCAGAGACATGAGTAGGAAACAGTAGCAGAAACGGGTAATTCATGCACAGAAGTTTGCAGCATTTACAGGATACAGTCATTACTGCAGACATACAGCGAGAATTAACGTTAATTGCCTTCTTGCGCGTGGATAGTTTGTT